ACTGCACCATTTTTATTCCTGATTATAATTAAAATACAATTATTATCATTATTATTCTAATTTCATCTGCATCGCGGCACTCGTCGTCAGAATTTTCGTCGTCAAGGCTGCTTTCTGATAGCTAAGCGCCTTCTAACTAGTCCAAGAAATCTTCAAAATGTCCCTCTCTTCTAAATTTCTCCACAAAAATACCGTAAAATAAACATATAGAAAAAAGATTTTTGTCTCACATTAGAAGTGAAGCAACTGCACAGTGATGTAAATTTCTGCACACAGGGTTTGGGGAAGATAATTTAGGGTATTCTCGATATAAATTGCACAGAAAGTAAGACACAAAATTTTTTTCTACTCATCTTTTTATTATTTAAAGTCTCGGATATTAGTAATAAAAAGTATTCAAGAATTCACACGTTTCTTCCAACCACACCAAACAGCTGGTTGACTTCAAACCCTCTATAATAATTGTGACATTTTATTATTTTTTTATAGCTACGTTCCTTATTACGCAATAGTCGTGAAAAAAGTTTCCAGTAACTACCAATTTGCAGAACTTCTTCTGAATATAACTTTTTGTGCACTAAATGTTATGATAGAAATTTCCCTCATCATGCAAAAAAAGGTTAACGTTAATGGAGTTCTGAAAATTAAGGCGACTGACTACGTCCAAAACCCGAATTTTAAAAAAAACCATAAATGAATATTTTTTGAAGTTCTACTTCTTTTGGCGCGTTAGTGAAAAATGATCAGAGTAAATTTTTACGCGCGCGATGCGCAAGGACACCGTCACAAAAAACCAATAACATGCATTTTAGGTTTTATACACCTAGCGTCATCTAGTAAAGAAGAGCAATAATACAAAGCTGAAAAAATTAATTAACCTTAATAATCCACACGTTAAAAATTGACAAATATTTTTAATTTAATTTATCTTTAATTGGAAATAACCTATCTGTTTCACAAAACTCTTCTTACAAATTAATTTCTTAAAATTTCTAGTGGCTTTTTTTTTAAATTTTGAAATTTTACTATGCAATATTGCAATGTGTAATTGATAACTTTTATCATCATTAATATTACCCCGTATGTTTCAACTGTTTCCCACAAGATAGATGTTTTGATAATTAAAAATTACACTTCTCTTTAAAATATTTCCTTATAACAAAATGTTACCAGCTCTTTCTTCCTTTAGAAACAGTTAAATTGAAATTTTTTTTAATTAAACACAATATAAAATAAATTTTTTTAGTGCTAAGAACATTTCGTATTTCATTATTTGTTTTTGTACACTTAATTAAGTCACTTATTGATATGAAAAGGAAAAAAAGAAAAAGATCTTCTATATGTAAATGTGACTTGTTTTGAACTTTTTATAAAAGTAGTTTTTTTAAAATAAAAAAATGTTACTGCACCATATTTATTATTTTTCAATTCGATTTAATTTATTATTTTAAAATAGAGGAATGTCATTTTTTAAAGGATTTCAAGCATATTTTGCCTTTAAATTTCCACTTGAGCTGTTTACACAGAAAAATAATAGCTGTATTTAAGAAAAGTTAATAAAGCAGAAATTTTTCTCTTTGACAAATTAAATTTTTTAGAATTTGTATATTTACTTTTTTTCAAAGCTGAAAACCTGCATATATACAAAAATCCTTTATAAATCCTGTTCAAAATGATAAATTCTACACTACCATAAATGTGCTTTTTAACTATCGCATTTTTAAATAAAACGAATTTTTTTTTTATGTAAGAGGACTGAAGATGTAGTATGCTTCTATGGCTGAATATTTCATAAAATCAACTAGACATATAACTATCACAACAGACCTCGTAATTCTGAACTTCTTTTAAATGACGAGGTTGACACCTGTACTGACACCACCTGTACAAACTCCCACACCACGACAACTGGAGAAATTTAAGCTACAACTCTTGTTATTTGGTATTTCTGCAACAAAACTTCCAGTTATATTATCCCAATTGCGAATACGTAATGTAATAATTTAATTTTTTTCAAATAAATTATTTTAATTATTATAAATTTATCATTTTAACTCTATTCTGAAAAGTAATGTTTTAAATGAATGGAAAATTTATAGATTATTTTTATTAAAAGCAAGTGATTTCTGATCAAGAATTCTGATGATGAATTAAATGAATTTATCTTCCACAAATGACAACTATTAATGTAAAAAAGACAGTTTTTCGTTATTAAACATCAGCTCAAGATAATATTTTTGTTAGAATAAATATATATTAATTTATTTTAAATTCACTACTTTTATTAAATATGTGAAACAGCTATTTCTATTCCCAAATAGTGAATTTTTGTAGCTCACTGTGTATTGATAGCCTTGAATTATTATAATGTCCTTGAAATTTTAATCATTTTTTTTTCATTAAAACATTTCCTTGTAGTTGCTTTTGAGAACGAGTTATTAAAGAATCAAAAGGGCTTATGATGATAGGTAAAGATTGATTGTGCTTATTACTTCGTTCTCCGAAGCAACTTGAATATGAAATTATTGAACAGTAATAAATATTAATATGTATACGTTGTGCATGCTAAAAATTGTCAATTTTTTTAATTATGTAGAAATAATTTTATTATGATATTTAAATAGACTTAATTTAACTAGATAATGTGTTATAAAATAAATTTTCAATGTACTAAATACCTTTTTTTCTATTATTAGTGTCGTGTTTTCTACAAACGTAGGATAACGTGAAAGATAAAATTTTTAGAAAGATTTTTATCTTGTTACACCAAAGAAGTATAACTTCTTACGTGCGTACATAAGTACACACTCATTTTTTTTTAAAAAAAATTAGGCTCAGTTGGATTAGAATATACACATAAAATTGTTTTAAGAATACTATTACATAAAAATTACGAAGAAATTCTGAAGAAAGAATCACATAAATTTGAAACATTCCCCTTTTATGAAATAATATTTTACGCGTAGGTATAAGTAGGATTTTTATACAGAAACTGAACTAAAAGTTTTGAAAAATTTACATTATTTACTGATTTATAGTTAATTGAAATGTTAACCAGTGCTTCCTGTTGAAGTTTTTCTACTCTGATGCATTAAAATAAGAATATATCCATTTCTAAACTATATATTTCAAGACTCCTAATTATGGTCTGTATAGAAGTTTTAGCTGTATATAGGCCAAATATTATTATCATAGAAGCATTTTTCATCAAATGAAAATGTTTTCAAAACATGTCATTCTTTTTTTATTTTTATTAAAAATTTGAATTTAAGTAGCTTTTTTCTTATATAATAATATTCTTAAAACAATTCTATATGTATATTGTAATTCAACTTAGGCTAAATATCAGTCAAGAAATGTATTCATAATTACGTTTTTTATTTAAAAAAAATTAGGGTTCCTAGCGTAATCATTCACCTGGAATACTTTAAAAACAAGCTTAATGTAAAAATAGGGAGATAGAGATTTCTCAAATACAGACTATTTAGCTTAGTTTAATTTTATTTTTCTGGACAACTCTGTCTTTACATTAGCTTTTTAGTAATATTGTTAGTAAGTTTTAAAGAAAGAGCAAATTCATCTGTGAATCTTATAAAATCATATTTTTTTAATGTCCTCTAATGAATGCAAATAATAATTGGGACATTCATGCATTAAATTTACTCAAAAGCTCTCGTATAGCTTCGGATTGAAAACAACATAGAGATACCAACCAATTCACTCTTATCATCCATCATTTGATCATAATTCAGAATTGTAAGGTCCACAGCCAATAACAGTGTGGCTCTAAAGTTATTCAAATTCAAAAAAAAATTACAACCAAGGTTTGTTACTTGTTAATATTTGTAAATGTAATACTTCATGTTGCTCTTTTACGAATATATTTGCTCTTAAGTTACATTCTCAATGTTTATTAAAAGGCTAATCTGAAAGTAAAAAACGGGTCACTTTTTTTAAATAATAAATACAAGAAAATAAGATAAAATGGCTTATTAATATAAAGAAATTAATTAGTGATAGCATTGAATGTCTTGGAAGTTTTTTTAACCTTTTATAAAGCCGTGGTAAGTATACTCCCCACCATTAATTTTTAAATGCCGATGTTAAGCTATTTTCGCATCTATATGATTTGTGCAGCTAGAACTTCGGGTTGCTGAACAACTGATTTCTGGATTTTGAAGTCGTACACGCAAAAAAGTGATCGGTTAGATTTCTGAGAAGTAAGAAAATTGTTCCAGATGACATGCGATTGACTGTAGTCGGTGATTATATGCCAACATTTCCAAAAACATATAGACGTTGTCGTTTATGCTTCACTAAAACACATGGGAAGAAAATAAGTTTTGTACTGCTTGCAATGTGCCACTTACAGTTGATCCCTGTTTTCTGAAATTTCATAAAAAGAAAATATGTATAAACTCTTAAATGTTTGAATAAAAAATATATCTAATTTATCATTCCTTTTGTAAATTTCAGTATTTTCAAATTATATTTTATAGCTCTCATACAATGTGGAGTGAAAATAAATGCAAAATATAAGATGTAATGCCTTTGAATATCTTTCAGTGAGGGTGAGAAACATACTTCCCAATAAAATTGGCTTTAAAGAATTAAATTGATTTTAAGTATTAAGCTAAATGAGATTTTTTTTTACAAATCTACCTCAAACCTAAAAATATTTTAACATAAAATTACTAGAAACAAGTAACATAAAAAATTTAAGACAATTCCTACTTAGGTCAAAAAAATTTTTTTTTATTATTTTAGGTACTTTTTATTAAACAATTACAATTAATATAAATATGTAAATACAAATGACAGAATCGCAATATTAAGTGCCAAAATAGAAATCGATTTTCTTTGCAATTTTCTATTTTCATTTCTATATATGGTGTTGGACTATTATTTTTGTCTATATTATACTATTTATTTATTCATTAAATTTATTATTCTAATAAAGTAGTATAGTAAAAAAGAAATCACATTTTCAGAAAATAGGTCATCCCTGATGAAATTCGAACCCATGACATTCGGATTAGAAGTCCAACGCGCTATCCATTGCGCTACAGGGACACAGCGAACGATTTTTCTTTTTATATATGGTGTTGGTCTATTATTTTTGTTTCTTACCATTTAATCATTAGTTAAGTTTATCTAATGAATTATATATAATATTTGAAAAAACTGTTTTAGCATCAAGTATCATCCACTAAAGTTTAAAAAAATGTATTTGATCTTGAATAAATGAATAAAAAGTATTTTATTAACAATTGAAAATTTGAACAAGATATATATAGAGACAGAGACAGAGAGAGTGAACTAATAGCAGGGATTGAAAAAATGACCCTTAAGATACTTCTACGTTTTTATCATATTGTTATGTAAGATGCATGTAATTGAACTTGTAATAGTTGTATATAAAATGAGCGAATTCTAAAACTATATATCATTCTTGAGGAGAATTAGTTGACACTCGTTCCCCTTCTTTTTCCTAAAGCCATCTATTTAACTAATCACCACTCAGATCAAACGCCAGTGAAACAAAAATATAAATCTACCTAAAAAAAGAAAGAGGAAAATCGGCAGGCTAAACATCCGGGTCGGAAATTTATATCAGTAGCACGCAAGAAATGACAAAACGAAAGGAAATTGCAATGGAGTAAAGAAACAAAGAAAAACGTTCTGCTTCATCGGCATCTCCTCCGCAGCCAAATGTCAAGGGGAGGGGACGTATTTTTCTTCTCAATCTCTCCCTCCCCCATCGACGAAAGGGCTTCTTCTCTTCGTTTTTCCCTTTTCTTTCTTTTTTTAATTAAAAGAAATCGCTATTATTCTTCCTTGAATTTTTCCCTTGATTCAATGACGCAGAAATGAAAGATGCCAGGCTGTTTTGAGAAATCCTATGAGATCCTTAAATGTTTATATTTTCTTTTAATTTTCTTTGGACTTTTTTTTTTCTCGTGCATTCCTCCCATATTTCTCCATTACTGTTGTGATGTAGAGGATACTGAAAAATTTCAGACTGTGGAAAAATAGTTGAGAAATTGCGATCGAGTACTTAGAAACATAGTAATTTTATTTTTTTATTTTTTTTATTTAAAAGTAATGACATTTTAGTAGCGGTCAGAATGAAAAATGCCACATATTATTCTGAAAAGTAATTGTTCTTACAACCAGAAATTGTTCTTACTTTCTGCTCTCTAGTTTCGAATTGATTTCGAAAACATTCTTAACGGACACACACACAATTGAAATCTGACTAGTTTGATTTAAATCTTATCAAAAGTATATATAGAGGATATAGTAAAGTCCTTTTCTAATAGCTACAAAAAGAATTCTAGGTATAATTTAGATAAGAAATTCTAAAGAAAAATAAGAGTGTCTATGTAAAAATAAATCGAGTAAAGAAGACAAATATTTTAAATAGTTTGAAAAGTATGATATGTAGATAGAACTTCCAAAGCTACGTTAAATGTTAAGATACACTTTATCTTTGAAATAATCTTTTCCAATGCTTTTGAGAAATGCATAGAAAAGGAGAAATAAAGAGTTTCAATTTTAAAAAAAACTCTCTCTCTCTCTCTCTCTCTGTGACAGTACAAAGCAAGTTGAATGTTATTTATTATAGGGATTATTGTACCTGTCGATTCTCATAGTACCTATAGTATAATATGTATGATAAATTGTATAAGAAGTCTCAGAGAAAGTGCTTTCAATTCCATTCTGTACTTTAAAATCATGGCATGTTTCCAGGGTTTGAGCATTGGCGTGGGACTTGAATCTCACATTCTCTGTTCTGAATTCACGGGGCATCATTTTCTGGAGATACATGATACAATTGTTACTATAGATACCTGTGGACTCAGTTTAAAATTTCATATGAATTTTTTGCTTGATTTTTTTGTAATATAACCGAAGGTCTAATTCCAAAGGGTGTTTCGGTCCTTTCTTTGACGGTATGAACAATACAATAAATCAGTTTGAGGTCACTTCCAGCGGCTCCTCTAAGTTTTTTTTTCAACTAGATGAATGGCATGTCATGCATCTATTGTTACTTCAGTCTTTTTGTTTTAGTTTATAAATTAACATAATGTTTTTCTCTGTAAGTACGTTTACTTGTTTTATTAACAATGTGAACAAATCCAATGCAAAAGTCCAACACTTGGTGCAAATGCGAGTTCTTCAACACTGAATGAACAAGCTTATGCATTCAATGCGGTAGTGATTAGAGCGTCAAAAAATCTTTTATGTTAATTACCAGTTTGGGAACTAATACTTTTGCTACATAATAGTACAAATCTTTTTTTTTTCACTTCCTACCATTAGCTTACTCTCTCCATATATATATATTTATTTGCATATATATCTTGTTCAAATTTCCAATCATTAATAAGATGCTTTCTATTCATACGTTCAAGTTCAAATACATTTTTTAAACTTGTAGTGGATGACAATTGATGTTAATACAGTTTTTTCAAATATTGATTCATTAATTAAATTAAAAAAGGAAGAAATAGTAACAAACAAAAATAATAGCCCAACAGCATATATAGAAAGGAAAATCAGTCCTTGTGCCTCCGTAACGTAATAGACTTCTATTCCAAAGGTCGTGTGTTCGAATCCTACCTGGGATGACCTAATTTCTGAGAATGTGATTTCTATTTTACTATACTGTTTTATTAGAATAATTAAATTTAATAATAATTAAATAGCAACAAACAAACAAAAATAGTCCAACACCATGTATAAAAAGAAAAATGGAAAATTGCAAGGAAAATCGCTTTCACTTCTTGTCACTTAATATTGTGATTCTATCTTATGTATATACATATTTATACTAATTGTAATTATTAATAAAAAGAAACTAAAATAAAATTTTTCTTTGTTAACCTAAATAGAAATTGAATTATTTTTTTTTATATATTACTTGTTTAAATTCAGCTTACTTGTGTTTTTAATAGCACATAAAAATGTAATATAGTTTTAGGTAGATTCTAAAAACTGAAATAAATTTGGTATTCTTCCCTCTTCGATGAATAAGAAGAAAATTTTTCATGTAATTTTTAACTCATAGTTGTGTTTTTATTCTTTTTTTGTGTGGCATAATTTCTGCAAAATACCAGATCTAAGCCTTCCGTAATTGCTTTTCTAATATTTTAAAAAAATCAAATAGTTATGCTGAAATGTTATTTGAGGGAAATATCATTGAAGAGTGGTATAATAAAGTATTTTTTTTCTAGCACTAATTTCACCAGTTTCATTTTCGTGTTTAAAGGTCTTTATATTTCGAACTGTATAAATCGTCATTTGTGATTATCACAAAATTTATTGTTGTTTTCAAGCATCCTATGAAAATTCTGTTAACAAATTATATGCCTAAAATACTCTTAGGTTTTATTTTGTTTTCTTATTTACAATTCTCATCGTCATTTATGTAATGAAAATCAATTTTGTTAGCTCGTAAACACCCTTTATTCACTACCAAAAATTTTTCAATGAAAACACAAGAAAAAAATGATTTTTACTCGACTTAAAAATCTTTTAGTTTCATTCATGGGAAAAACATTTTTTCGCTTTCAAATGTTCTTTATTCAAAACAGTGACAACAATGACATTTGTACAATAACAATGTTTACTGAATAGGAAAATTACCAAAACATTGAATCCCAAGAAATTCTAATAAATAATCAAAATAAACTCATTTGTATGCGCATTTTAATATTTGAGAAGTAAGCTGCTTACCTTCTTTTATCAATTTACTCAGCTATTATCTTTGAATTACAAAGTATAAATTCTTCTCTGAGAAACATAAACTCATTATGAATCTTCATGAATCAATAATTTAAATATCTGCATTGTTATTCTTTACGAACTTTGTTGTTTACTTAAAGATATTTTCCCCTCCTTTTCAAAACATGCTTTTATAATGAAATTTTTATCCTTCGTCTAGTCCCTTACATTCCCATTGCAGATAAATCAAACTTAGGTCTAACTTTTCTTAATGAGCAACTGATATGTAATAATTCAAATATATATCCCTGTATTATTATAGTACATTTCATTCAAAACTTTTTTACAAAATCTAAAATTTCTATAGATTATTTACCATGAAATATCATAACAACTAAGAAAAAAATTTAAGTGCTTTATAATTTGAATAAAATATTAATTCTGTTAGATGTAAGGTTTATCTTTCGTTCCATATATTATTTAAAATTATGCAAAATAAATAATTTAATTCTCCATAATTAGTTGAAACTTAGTAAGCCTAAATTTTTAGGAAGATTTTCTTGTTATACAAAAATTCCTTTGAATAACTGTCTCCCTCCTCAAATTAAAATTAATCATAAAATAATTTTTAAAGCTTATGGAATATATCTTATTGAAAAATTTTTTTAAAGTAGCAATCAAATCAGTCTCGTACTGATAGTGTCAAAAAGTGGTTTAAAATGTGTATTTGACGCGATACTGTGTTTCGTATTTTTAACATCATCTGTCAGTTGATATAATTACATTTAAGGAATATATACACTTAGAATTTCTGTATCTATAACATTTTTTTCCTGGCTGTTAATTAGAAATTAACCGTCAGGGGAAAATGTAATGAGACTTAGTACCAATTTACAAAGTATTTGCATGAAAAAAAAATCCTGTTACTTTAAAGAGAATGTTTCAACGATCAATGTTTTTAGAAATAACAAATGAAGAACAAAGGAAATGGCAAGAAATCTTACATCCATATCATTGCTAGTAATTGAGTTATTATAGAATACCCGTTTATAAACTCTCAATCTTCTATAAAACATACGTGTGTATTGATAATAAAACATATGTCATATGAGGTATATGTATATGTGTATATGTATATATATATATATATATATGTCTATAAAAGTTAAAATTGCATCTGATCTTAAGACATCAGCAAGGAATTCATAATATTCATTGTTTTCCCAAGAAATATAATAAAAATTACAAAAACTTCAAACACTTAAATATATTCTGAAAAATAATAATTTATTTTTAAGAAAATGATACCATTTTTCTGCGTGTATGTGTGTTCCACTAATTTT